TGTGAATAGCTTCCATCGTCAATACATTTAGAAAAGATGAAAGAGAATATCCTCGTCCTAACCTTCTTTCCATTTGAAACTTGGAAGTTGGGTTTCCAATAACCATAACTGACGCAGGAGAAGAAACCATTTTTGACCCATGCACGCTATTCTGGTCCAAATTCTGAAGAACTTTATAACATGTTCAAATAATCACATCCTAAAGAATCGTATTAGTTTCCAAAGTTAATTTTGAAAATCATGGGTTTTTTTCTTGTTATTGTACTAGTCAATCACCTCATTTACCATAACAGTTCATTGAGAATCTAACGGACTATCATTTGCACATATCACTTGAAGTAACTCTTACGACAGTGCGTATGATTTGATGTAAACTAACCAACCTAATTATATTCAAGTACATATGCAATTGAAATAAACAAAAGTGCACCGACACTATCATCTTTTACGCTTTTAAATAGCTAGCAAATGAAGAAATATTGTTTAAAACATGTCTGTCATGTCGTTCCCTCTCATTGGTGTCTTGTCATGGTCCTATGTCGAGCATATGTTTCTTCTTATAACATATTACAAGTTTTATTCGGCGATGGCCTATGTATTTATACATGGTGTTGTTTTGATGCTAACATGGATTTTTTATTTTTTTATTTTTTTATTTTCCAAATATGTTTTTTATATTTGGTTGTCCCATTATTACGAGGTGAATTCATTTTGGTAAACCTATTGACTGACGTTCATATAAAAAATGATGAATTAATTGTGTCAAGTACAACTCCACTTTTATGTGGTGCGAAGTAGTTGTCATGATGATATAAGTTTATTTTATATTCAACTATGAACTTATTGTTTTATTTAAAATATGACAAAAAATTTGACATAAAGATGGTATTAAAGAATAGATATTTATCATATAAATATTGTTTCTAAAGTCGGTGAGTAAATATTCGGAACTTAATTAATAATGAAGATTATGGTTGTCTCATAGTTGTTGATCAAGTCAAAATCCAACTGACTGAGTCCTGAATCAAACCAACTAAGGGGCATTGTGGAGAAGTCATAACCGAGTAAGAGGTTTCTAAGCATGGTATCAAATTGTCTCAATCTAACTGAATTATACCTAACTTTTTATCAGGCCCAGTAAAAGACATATCAAACAGTCTAAGGTGTTGTTTGTTTTTTCGAATCGAAAATGTCTAAAGTCTGCGTACCACCTCTGCAACCTTCTGTAGCAGAAGAGGTGGACCAAACGGCTGCAACATGTAATAAAAAGTCGGTTTGTTTTTTAACGTTTGCAGACTGCTGCAATAAGTTAAAGTAAGGTGTGAAGAGGTTTGAAGCAGATGGTCTAGTGCACACGCGCAACAATTTTTAAGCTAGATGTCTTCTGAAAAACAAACAGGTGTGAATGATCAAATGTTGTGTGTGTGATGCGTGACGCAACAATAAGTGGTCAGAAGTGGTTTTTAGAAAAAACAATCACCACCAAAATCTAACCAATTTACACTCAACATCTTACCAGACCCATTAAAACATATCAATCGGTCCTAATAAGTCAACTATGTTATTTGATGGGCCTTCTTCCACAACTATGTGACCCGCAGAGTGAGCTCCTTTTGCTCCGATCATGTATGGGCATTGCAAAACTTTTCTTTGGTTTAAGGACATGCCAGCCGGTCCACATAGAAGAGACAGCTTTGTGCTTTGACAAAGGATTGCGCAGGTCTATCGAGGATATGGTGGTATGTGGAGACCCCTTCTTTGGAGACATTCAGTGGCGCCTGGCTTCCTTACCTATCCGTTTCGGTGGTTTGGGTTTGTACTCGGCATACGAGGTTTCCTCCTACGCATTTGTAGCCTCGAGGGCCTAATCTTGGGCATTACAAGACCACATCTTTCGTGACAATGGCGTATTTGGTATGGACTCGGATTACCTATGTGCTATGACTCGTCTTCGCGATACGATTCCGGGATTTGACTGTAGCGGTTTCACTAATAGGGACACCGCCCCCCCTAAATCCCAAAAAGCTTTGGCGTGTGTCCTTTTTAGCAAAATCGTCCAAGATATGGAAGTCGACTTCGACATGACTATTAGACAGAAAGCAGTCTTTGAGTGTCTGCGGGCACCTCATGCTCAGGATTTTCTGCTAACTATCCCTATTGATGGTCTTGGCCAGCATATGTCTCCTGTAGAGTACCGAACTATCATTCGCTACCGCCTCATGATTCCCATATTCCCAATTGACGAGATATGCCCAGTTTGCCGCAAGGCATGTTTGGATACCTTTGAGGAATACGCGGTTCATTGTTGAGAGCTCCCTGGTTTCAAGTACAGACATGATGTGGTTCGGGATGTGCTATTTGATGCTTGTCGGCGTGCTGGTATTTCTGTGAAGAAAGAAGCGCCAGTGAACTTTTTGACGGACCTGCAGGATGGAAGGTCCACTCTTAGATCGGCTGACATTTTGGTCTTTGGATGGATAAGAGGGAAGCATGCGTGCGTGGATCTTACTGGGGTCTCTCCTCTCGTTGGTTTGGGGGGCGGGGGTTTCACAGCAGGGCATGCCGCTTTGAAAGCCGCTGCGTGCAAAGTGGTAAAGCACGGAAATGCATGTATAGAAAATCAACATGTGTTTGTACCTTTTGCATTCGATACATTTGGTTTTCTCGCACCAGGGGCGGTAGAGCTCCTCAATAGAGTCCAACGGGTCATGTATTCTAATGTCATATCTCCTAGATCCACAAATGTTGTTTTCAAAAGAATTGGTTTTGTCATCCAGAAAGGGTTAGCGGCGCAGCTTGTTGCCCGTTTGCCTTCAATCGATATGTATTAAACTATTATATTAATATGTATCATTTTTAGTGTTTAAAAAAAAAAAAAAAAAAAAACTATGTTAAAGTTCAAATACATCTAAAAAAACAAATGACATAAATAAATTAACAGTAAAATGATATAGGCTTTTTACTAAAGACAAACAAACAATATCTCTAAAGCTTCAAATCGAAACTTTTATATAATACAGAAGACCGGAATACTAAATAGATAAAGATATTGTGGATTATTAACTAATTTTGGGAAGTAACATAAATTAATTTAATTGGCAGGGATACACACGTGCGTTCTTGGTTAATGGTTCCGGCGAAATATTTGGCCGACGGTTTGACGAATCAAATAATATAATATAAATATACATATAAAGATTAAAGGTTTGTTTATTCGGTAATATTTTATATTTTATTTATATGAGAAAATGGTTTTTAAGATGAATAATGCAACCAGTTTTAGTTAAATAACTAAAATTTATCTCGGTGTTTAGCAGGTTAAAACATGATTGAATAAATTGTAATCGATTCTTATTTGTCCTATAATAAAATGTGGTATGTTTCATTTAAAAACCATTTTATTTGTAGGGATTAGAAAAAAAAAATTAATCATTATCCGATAAATAAATATTTAACTCTAAATAAACCTTCTTAGATAGTCCAAAAGTTTTGTTTGCTTTATTGTTAAATGTACAAAGTCCAAGTTACCGAATGAAAAAAGTATTTAACAAATGTGACTTAGTTGAGGCGATATATATATATATATATATATATATATATATATATATATATATATATATATATATATATATATATATATATATGTTATTATTTTTTTAACAGCCAATCTAATCTGAAATATGTTATTATTTTTTTTTTGAACAGACAATCTAATCTACTCCTAAGCTAACAATACTTATTCCACTTATGTCAACGACAGGACTTGAACCCCCGACCTCAAAGAGGGAGGGCACCACTTGATACCGCTGGGCTACAAGCCCTTTGGTGAAAAATATGTTATTTGATAATGTGAATACGTTTAACCTTACATAACTATTGTCATTATCACACATCTCACTAATTACATTGTCTATAAGGTTATTATAGATTTTTTTTATGATTCTCATTCTGTCAGAATGTTTATTAAATCATATTCTGTAAGAATGAAAATAAGTGAAAAATGATGCATGAGAACAAAAATGAATAAGAATTAGTAAGAATGCATCATAATGACGATAGTTGTGTGAGGTTCAACGTATTCATAATAATAAACAACATATTCTCTTAGTCATTCTCATAGAATAACAATGTCCACACGTCCGCACAATAGATGTCCATCCACATTATAACTAAATCCTAGTATCCCTTCGTTTGAAAAACGGATAAAGTTTGAATTTTGACTGAGTATCAAACAATCTACTGTTTAACTTAATGTTTGTAGTTTATCCACTCAAATTTAATTACAATAATAGTGTGTTCCATCTGTAGCACTAGGTAAAAAAATTGATGATCAAAATTGAATAATTTTTGTACCTCTTTGTTTGTTAACGATCCACTAAAGAATGGTGTACTAGTAGTTTAATTATCCTTTGGTAATTGGTACAAGTATCCAATTGAAAATAAAATGTTTTTAATTATCAAAGTCTTTATTTTAATTTTTTTTAACACCAAGTGTTCGACCAAATGCCTAATTAAAGATTTACTTTGTAATTGGTCTCCTCTCCACTAAGCAGCTTTTCAAATTTTGTAAATGTCAATGATAAACTGTGGACCTGATTCTTTTGTTTTTACAGTTTACAAAAAGACTACATGGTTACTAATTGGTTTTAGGCAATTGCACTATATGTTGAATGCTTTTTTTAGAATTTTTGTTTGCCTATTATTTTGTTAAAAAGTATGTATGCAACTCGTGTGGTGTGAAAACTCTAGGAATGCCTATTATTCTGAATGAATTTGATTTCAATCTCCTTATTTATTATGAATAGATAGAGAAGAGATGCAAACAAATTTTTATTGAATTTCTTGAATTAATATTACGAGAGTATACATGTGTATTTATATTTGTATGTACAACTAATCTATGAGATAAATAAGGAAGACTATAACTATCTTGACTATGTAAGTTACATTTGAATTTAAATAGCTAAAGGGTAAATAAGGTCGGTGGGTTATAACTTAGGTTATGACTTAATATGCCCCCACAAGATGGACGATCCAGAGATGAGACCAATCTTGGATAGTAGATAGTGAAAACGTGGTCTTAAGAGGGGCTTAGTGAGAGCGTCTTCCAATTGATCATCTCCTGCAATATGTATGACTCGTAAGGTGCCTTGCTGAACTCTTTCTCTAACAAAGTGGAAATCCAATGCAAGGTGTTTCATTCTTGAATGGAAAATAGGATTTGCAGAGTATGATGTTGCATCTAGGTTATCACAGTAAATGGTGGGAGTAGTGTTGGATTTGAAACCAAGTTCACTTATGAGAGATGCAAGCCATTGGACTTCAGTTGTGGGGGAAGAAACAACTCTGAATTCAGCCTCGGTTGAGCTTCTCGCAAGGGTGGGTTGTCGTTTAGAACTCCAAGAAATTGGATTGCAGCCAAGATAAACTATGTAACCAGTTGTACTCCTATAATTGTCTTTATCTCCTGCCCAATCAGCATCAGTAAAGGCATGGAGAGTGAGTGGAGACATTGGTTGTAAGATTATACCATGATATAAGGTTCCATGAAGATGTCGTAAGAGTCTTTTTAGAGCTGTCCAATGCAACGATGTGGGAGCATGCATGAATTGGGACAGACGATTTACAGTGAAGGAGATGTCTGGCCTCGTGAGAGATAGATATTGTAAGGCTCCTACCAGTGCACGGTATTCAGTGGGTGATGGGTAAAGGGTACCGCTACTCAAAGTAAGAGGTTCAGATGTAGTTATTGGAGTTGATATAGGTTTGCAGTCACTCGTGTGTGCTCGTGTGATTATGTCAAGGATATATTTTCGTTGGGAAAGAAGGACACCATTGGTCTGAGGGATGACTTCAATACCTAAGAAATATGAGAGTTGACTAAGATATTTTAAGGAAAATGTAAAACTAGCTTCCATGTATTTGCATTTTTGGCCTTGCTTATTATTTGTCTTGCATTTTGGTCCCAAACCCCAGGCGTTTGTATATTGACGCCAGACGTCCGCACGCAGAGGACAAACCCTAATTTTTAGGGTTTGCACCCTATTTAAAGGACATAATATCCTCCAAACCTTTCTTAACTCCAACATCCATCTCTCTTAGCCCTCATTTCGAACCCTAATCCTTTCTTGTGCAAAACTTCAAGCTTTTGGTGATATTTGGTGATTCTTGGTGGTGAAGGAATCTCTTGATTGTGTTGTTGCTCTCAAGCCTTTGGATCTGGACTCTTTGCATCTTAGAGCATCTTGTGGAGGTATAAAGTTTAGATATTTATGACTTCTTTGTTATATCTTGATTTAAGCTTAGTTTATGTCCTTTTTGGTCCCATAATATTGATCTTTGTGAGTTTGGGATACTCCATAAATTTGGGTTGTCCTTCAAGAACTTTTGAGTGTTTTGATTCATAAAAATGCAAGCTTGGACCTTGATACTCTTCCATGCAAGAGTTTTGGAGCTTTAAAGTAGGTTTTGAGTTAAGATCATGGTGTTGGGCTCTTTGTAGCCATGCAAAATCATAATGGTTGCAACTTTATGGCTTTAGATGTTCTTTTAGCCTTGGATCTGAAGTTTGAACGTTAGATCTTGAGCCATTAAGACATTAGTTTGGAAGAAGTCAGAGGGAAAACGCAAGGCATTTGGCTTGGAACGTTGGGCGTTGGGACGCCAGGGTTCTCAGTAGCAGCCCATTGGATCGATTTTTGGGCCTTGGGCCATTTAGGGTTTTGGGCTTAGAATAGTTGGATCTTGTAGGGAAAGGGGCAAAATGGTCTTTTGCTCTTAATATGATGAAGGATAAGTGGACCATTGGTATGGGATAAAACCCTAGGTATTGATTGGAGTCGTTTTTGGATTATGTTTAGTGCGAGGAGCAGTGTTCGTAGCAGATCGAGTGTTGATTCAGCTATCTTCTATTAAAGGTGAGTTTCTTCACTAGATTCATGGGTCGAAGGCACCAATGTCGGCCCATTTTTTGTTGTGTACAATGTTAGATGCCTTATGATAATTATATGAAAAAACAGGATCTGGCCCATGACATTGGTATGAAAGACCAGGATCTGGCCCCTGTCAGTTATATGAAAGACCAAGATCTGGCCCTAACACTTGTATGCAAGACCGGTGTGACAACCCGAATCTTTTTCCGTTAATGTTAACCCGATTCCGTTAATAAAATTTGAATTTTATCAAGTTCCGTTAAATTCTTATGATTTGGATCATCATTTAGGTTATATATTTGAATTTTATATAAGAGTCGAAACCAAAATCACGCGAAAAACCCGAGTTTCCTTTGAAAAATCGATAGTTTTCGGCCTGAGTGGTGTTCACGGCCGTAAACCCATTTACGGTCGTAAACCCGTTTACGGCTAGTGCCAGGTGGCCCCCACCACCGACCATACCCCCAACCTATATATACGGGACTCCCACCTTCGTTGAACTTTCCTAGCCGAAAACTCTCTCATTCTCTCTCTCTCTACCTCTCAACCGTAAACACCAAAACACCCTCTTTTCTCCTGAAAATCATCAAGAATCACCTCTGTAGGTTGTTTTGGAGCATCTAAAGCGCGTTTTCATCGAATCCAACATCGTTGTTCTTGAGTTTACGGCCGTACACCCTTCAAATCTTCAAAGGCCACAAACTGTTTACGGCCGTAGACCCTTCAAATCTTCATAGATTCTTCAAGAACACCGTTCACGCCCGTAAACCCTTCAAGGGGTTGTTCACGGCTGAGAACAGTTCACGGCCGCAAACTCCTTCACACCGTGAATCTTGGCTGCAAACCCCCTTTTCCGATTCAATCGAGTCCCGATAACATTCCTAAACTGAAAGCAAGTGTTTTTCCAACACTATAAATAATGGTTTCGCTAATAAAATACATATATGTATTAATTGAATTAGGATCCCGTTGAGTGCCACGTACATCAACTCGAGGGTCTTCACTCCCAGTTTTCGCTGTCCGACTATTCACACGACTAACAGTGAGTTCATACCCCTATGCTTTTATGATTTTAAATGTTTTCAGGGGGAGAGTACAAGCCAAACACAAATGATTTTGTGCATTTATACAAAAGGATCTCAACACATTTTAAAACTGATGCAATTGATACAATCTTACAGTTTCCACATGTTTATAAAATATTTAGATATTTTATCCATTTTGTAATGTGTTTGAGCATAAGGGACTTTTTCAATCTACAATCAAAATTGTATAGTTTTCCGATCAAAACATAAACCAAGTACACAACATACATGCAAACTATAATAGGTATAGTTTGGGTTTTCAATACACAGTTTTACGAATTCAGAGTTTTACATAGCAAAACATATAAACAATGACAGATTTAGTTTATGATATACATTACTACAAGAGTACATCATTTAAGAATTATTTAAGTATAATTATTACCCTATAAAGTATACACACGAGTTTAAATACAGTAGATCAATACCGAACTACACGTAAACTAGTTAATACAGGATTGTGAGACAACACTTCAATTGTACCTTTCGGGGTACAGGTTAAATCCTATCATAGTATAACCAGAGTCTCCTGGAGGGAGAGCGTGAGATTTGTGAATAGATCTATTCGGGACTGACAATCCCACACCTGAACTGCTAGCTACAGTTAGGCAGGCATGCCTGGGGTGACAAATGTGTTCAGCAGCGAGGGCTAGGCGTTACCTTCAGCAGGGTTGCGCAGGTTACGTCGCATATGTTATGGATACCTGGGATAAGGGTAAGGCGAACGTGCATGATGTACCGGTGGTCCGGGAGTATCTGGACGTGTTCCCGGAGGATTTGTTTGGGGTACCTCCGGAGAGACAGGTGGAGTTCAAGATTGATTTAGTTCTGGGTGCGGCCCCGATAGCCAAGACCCCGTATTGGTTGGCTCCTCCCGAGATGCAGGAGTTGTCTACACAGCTGCAGGAGCTGTTAGACAAGGGATTTATCAGGACGAGCAGTTTACCTTGGGGAGCCCCGATTCTGTTTGTGAAGAAGAAGGACGGGTCTCACCGGATGTGTATAGACTACCGGGAGTTGAGTAAGGTAATGGTGAAGAACTGTTACCCACTCCCGAGGATCGATGATCTTTTTGACCAGCTTCAGGGAGCATCTTGGTTTTCCAAGATCGATTTTGCATTCAGGCTATCACCAGATGAGAGTCAGAGATGAGGATGTACAGAAGACTGCTTTTCGGAATCGCTATGGTCACTATGAGTTCATGGTGATGTCGTTTGTGCTCACCAATACTCCTGCCGCGTTCATGGATCTCATGAACCGCGTGTGCAGACCGATGCTGGATCATTATGTGATAGTTTTTTATCGATGCCATCCTGGTTTATTCCAGACCGATGCTGGATCATTATGTGATAGTTCTTACCATGCACGTGATGCTTGACATAATCCATAAATGGCTTTATTGAGTTTTTAAACATAAGTAGGTAGAGTAGGATTGACAAAACCAGGGGGTTATGACATATAAACAGCTTCATGTAGGTTTCCTTGTAGAAAACTGTTATTAATATCAAGTTGTCTAAGAGACTAGTTATTTGATATGGATAGAGATAAGACAAGGCGAAGAGTAGCAGGTTTTAGAACAGAACTAAATGTATCACGGTAGTCAATGTGGGGTCATTGGTGGAACCCTTTTGGCAACAAGGTGAGCTTTCAATTTTTCAATTGATCCGTCGGGTTTGTATTTGTAACTATAAACCCATTTGCATCCAACTAGTTTTGAGCGGGAGACAAAGGAACAAGAGACCATGTTTGATTTCGTTCAAGAGCATCAAATTCTGATCACATGGCATTTCTCCACGATGGAGTTTTTAAGGCTTGAGTAATGGTTAATGGTTCAGAGAGATAGCAGGGTAAGGCGGTGTATAGTTGAAATTACGAATTGAAATATTTGTGTAACGATCGGTAATTCTCCAAGGTATTATCTATATTTATTTGGTTAATTATTTTATATTGATTGGGCTTGGATCCATTGGACCCCTACTAAATGGACTTCAGGGTGTCGTACGCTGGGCGTACCACCCTGTGTACACGTAGCGTACTAACAAGGAATGATCGCGCATGCCTTTCACGTACGCGCAACATACCAAAGAGTACGCGCGGCGTACAAGTGCAGACCACAAACCCTAAATTTTAGGGTTTGCACCCTATATAAATGACTTATAATCCTCCAAACCCTTATCCTCTCAGCCTCCCTTTTTCTCTCAGTACCCAACTCGAACCCTAACTCCATTGCATGTATCTTGAGCTTATTTTGAGCATTTTGGTGTTGTTTTGGTAGTTTTGAAGAGAAAGAAGTTTGAAGAAGGAGCAAGGACTTGAAGAGAGCTTGTAGATCCAGGGGATTAGCATCTTTTCTGACTCATTTGAGGTATCAAGCTTCAAACTTGACCATTGCATGCTTAGTTGTAGTTTTGGGGTATTTTATGTGATATTTTGACTCCATAGTTGAGGCTTCTTGTGTTCTGGTAGTTCCAGCTCATAAGAGCTGTCCTTTTGAGCTCTTGGAAGCATTTAGAGTCATAAAAATCGGACCTTGATGGTTAAGTCACAACCATGCAAGTGTTAGATGGTCACAAAATGAGTTTAAGGACTTAAATCATGTCTTAACCCCCATCCATGCATGCAAAGACATAAAGTTTGTAACTTTATGGTTTAGGACATCTTAAAGGACCTGGATCTATGTTTTGGACGTAAGGACATAATGGATTAAGTCATAAAAGGAGTTCTAAGGAAACTAGCCAGTACGTTGCACGTACTGGGTCAACCTCCCCGAAGTGGTCAAGACCAGCGTACGTTGGGCGTACGTGCCAGGTACGCCGCGCGTACGCATGCATAGTGGTTAACATGGGTTTTTGGGCCTTTTGGGCCATAGTGAGCCATCATAAATCATTTATTTTGGGCTAA